CAATACAATTTTGAACTAAATATTAATTACAAATACATTGATTTTGTAAATAATTTTAGTTTCTAAGAATCTTATTGGTTGAATATGTGTAATTAAAAAAATTATAACACATTTGAAAGTTAGAACCCTCTGCAAATATGCAATAAAACAAAAATAAAAAAATTCAAATTTTTCATGAAAAACGTGGGTTAACCCCTTTGAAAATATTGATATTTCCTATAAATGTTGTTTATAATTTTAAACACTTTAGTGTTGTTTAAAAATATCAAACCACTCTCAATATATATTAATGTAGGCTAAACATATTTTCATGGTACATGATCATCATTTCTAACTTTCAAACGAGTAATTTATTTTAACTTCATATACGATCTAATTAGTGTCTTAACCCCTATAAAATCTCTATTTTTTAGAGAAATGAGAACACCTAATGTCTCAAACCTCCTTAATCTTCATACTATGTCAGTTGATGATGAAAATATGCAATAAAACAAAAATAAAAAAAATCTAATTTTTCATGAAAAATGTGGGTTAACCCCTTTGAAAAAATTGATATTTCCTATAAATGTTGTCAATAATTTCAAACACTTTAGTGTTGCTTAAAAATAGCAAACCACACTCTCAATATATATTAGTGTAGACTAAACATATTTTCATGGTACATGGTCATCATTTCTAACTTTCAAACGAGTAATTTATTTTAACTTTATATACGATCTAATTAGTGTTTTAACCCCTATAAAATCTCTTTTTTATATAGAAATGAGAACACATAATGTCTCAAACCATTTTAAGCTTCATACTATGTCAGTTGATGACGCAAATATGCAATAAAATAATAATAAATATATTTCTAATTTTTCATTAAAAACGTGGGTTAACCCCTTTGAAAAAAAATTGAATTTTTCGATAAATGTTGTCTATAATTTTAAACACTTTAGTGTTGTTTAAAAATACAAAACCACACTATCACTATATATATTAATGTAGTCTAAACATATTTTCATGGTACATGGTCATCATTTATAACTTTCAAACGAGTAATTTATTTTAACTTCATATACGATCTAATTAGTGTCTTAACCCCTATAAAATCTCTATTTTAAAGAGAAATGAGAATAGTCAATGTCTCAAACCTCTTTAATCTTCATACTATGTCAGTTGATGATGCAAATATGTAATAAAACAAAAATAAAAAAATTTCTAATTTTTCATGAAAAACGTGGGTTAACCAACCCCCTTTGAAAAAAAAGAATTTTCCAATAAATGTTGTCTATAATTTTAAACACGTTAGTGTTGTTTAAAAATATCAAAACACACTCTCAATATATATTAATGTAATCTAAACATATTTTCATGGTACATGGTCATCATTTTTAACTTTCAAAAGAGTAATTTATTTTAACTTCATATACGATTAAATTAGTCTCTTAACCCCTATAAAATCTCTTTTTTTAGAGAAATGAGAACACATAATGTCTCAAACCTCTTTAATCTTCATACTATGTTAGTTGATGATGCAAATATGCAATAAAACAACAATTAAAAAATTTCTAATTTTTCATGAAAAACGTGGGTTAACCCCTTTGAAAAAATTTGAATTTTTCGATAAATGCTGTCTATAATTTTAAACACTTTGGTGTTGTTTAAAAATACCAAACCACACTCTCAATATATATTAATGTAGGCTAAAAATGTTTTCATGGTACATGGTCATCATTTCTAACTTTCAAACGAGTAATTTATTTTAACTTCATATACGATCTAATTAGTGTCTTAACCCCTATAAAATCTCTATTTTTTAGAGAAATGAGAACACTTAATGTCTCAAACCTCTTTAATCTTCATATTATGTCAGTTGGTGATGAAAATATGCAATAAAACAAAAATAAATAAAAAAACTCTAATTTTTCATGAAAAACGTGGGTTAACCCCTTTTGAAAAAATTGATATTTCCGATAAATGCTGTTAATAATTTTAAACACTTTAGTGTTGTTTAAAAATACCAAACCACACTCTCAATCTATATTAATGTAGGCTAAACATATTTTCATGGTACATGGTCATCATTTCTAACTTTCCAACGAGTAATTTATTTTAACTTCATATACGATCTAATTAGTGTCTGAACCCCTATAAAATCTCTATTTTTTAGAGAAATGAGAACACCTAATGTCTCAAACCTCCTTAATCTTCATACTATGTCAGTTGATGATGAAAATATGCAATAAAACAAAAATAAAAAAAAATCTAATTTTTCATGAAAAATGTGGGTTAACCCCTTTGAAAAAATTGATATTTCCTATAAATGTTGTCAATAATTTCAAACACTTTAGTGTTGCTTAAAAATAGCAAACCACACTCTCAATATATATTAGTGTAGGCTAAACATATTTTCATGGTACATGGTCATCATTTCTAACTTTCAAACGAGTAATTTATTTTAACTTCATATAGGATCTAATTAGTGTCTTAACCCCTATAAAATCTCTTTTTTATAGAGAAATGAGAACACATAATGTATCAAACCTTTTTAATCTTCATACTATGTCAGTTGATGATGCAAATATGCAGTAAAACAAAAATAAAAAATTATATTTTTTCATGTAAAACGTGGGTTAACCCCTTTGAAAAAATTTGAATTTTCCGCTAAATGTTGTCTATAATTTTAAACACTTTAGTGTTGTTTAAAAATACCAAACCACACTCTCAATATATATTAATGTAGGATAAACATATTTTCGTGGTACATGGTCATCATTTCTAACTTTCAAACGAGTAATTTTTTTTAACTACACATACGATCTAATTAGTGTCTTAACCCTATAAAATCTCTATTTTTTACAGAAATGAGAACACTTAATGTCCCAAACCTCTTTAATCTTCATATTATGTCAGTGGATGATGCAAATATGCAATAAAACAAAAAAAAAAAATTTAAGAGGTATGATACCTTAGGTGTTCATGTTTCTCCAGAAAATAGAATTTTCTTTTTAGGTTGTTTGTCCACTAATTAAGAGGTGTATGAAATTTAAATATATTACCTGTTGGAAAGTTTTAAATGATGTCCATGTACCATGAAAATAATTTTAACATACACTATTACAAATTTAGAATGTGATTGGGTAATTTTCATCAAAAATAAAGAGCCTACACTTCTTAATATAACATTTATCGAAAAACTCGATTTTCTGTAGGGGTTAACCCACATATTTCGAGAAAAAATTTGAAGTTTTAAAAATATAAAAATTTTGTTTGAGTGCATATTTGCATAATTTATTGACATAGTATGAAGGTTAAATAGGTTTTAGAACTTAGGTGTTCATGTTTCTTCAGAAAAGAGAATTTTATTTATAGGGGATTTGTCCACTGATTAAGTGATATATGAAATTTAAATAAATTATCTGTTGAAAAATTTTAAATGATGTCCATGTACCTTGAAAATAATTTTAACAAACATTAATACAAATTTAGAATATGATTGGGTAATTTTCATAAAGAAAAAGAGCCTCGACTACGTAAATACATATCTATATAATACGTAAATACATATCTTTGTTAGTTTGCATGTCTAGATTTGTAGGAACATCAAAATCCTTTAGGTTATAAGAAGGACGTCACTCTCCGATATCCATTGCATGCTATTAAGATAGTTACTCTATGCTATTGATTTATCACCAGTTTGTAAGTGTTCTAATAATCTAAACAGTTGTAGACTTCTAGAGAAGGAATATTTTGGTGCTTGCAGCGGAAAGCTATAAGTTGATTATGGAAAAGCTACTACGTTTACATTATGAAACTGATCAATAATATGTATATATTGATAACATTTGATTATTTGTCTTTTTTTATCCTAGTGTTCGTATGAAATTGAATATAGAGGTAGTCTACAAAAAAAAAAGTGAACGAAAAAAAAATGAATATAGAGGATCTTTGTATCACTCCCCACTAGGGGAATACGAACTATCAAGTTGCCACGCGTTTCCAGCTAATTTTTATCTTGCATGTTAGAAACTTTTTTACTTGAATAAAACTTTGAATCAAACGAATTAAAATAACCCATATAACCAAAAGAAAATAGTAGACCAAAGAACTTATTATTTGAATAAAATATAAACCACTAAGTTGGTTGGTTGTAATTAACTAAGGAAACACAAACGGAATAGAATAAGAAAATCCCCACTTGACCAAACTAATAGCCAATGGAACTCAAGTTGGCAATAGTTTAAGCACGTCTGTTTCTGCTTTAGGTCTAATAAATAAACAAATGAACATGGTACTCAGGTTTAAATTATATTTCCTTGTATATGATCTTTTCAAATACGATTCTCTTCATCTTGAATATATATATATAAACTTACAAGAACAATGCACACTATTTTTTGTCAAAAGTTAGTTTTTTTTTTGCCAGAATACACAGGTTTTTGTAGACTATTTAATATTTAACCTCTGTAATCGAAATTGATTCCTAGTTCAGAATATTGGCTTTAAGATTTATACTTTTTTGTCTAAAATCGTTGGAAACCAGGATCTACAGGAGAAAAGGAAAACTTTAGTGTATGTTATATATTGCTGAATTGTATCAAGTCTAACATGTTAACAATATTGATGCATAAATTAAAATCCATTTACATATATACAACAAAAACGGTGAAGACATTCATGAAAGAAAGAAAAGAAACAAGAAATAAAACACAGATCAGTTAATAAATTATCAACTCAATATGTTATTATGCCAACGTGCGAATCCATCTTCTTGTAAATCCCTCGATATATATTGATATATCGATATTCCCAACATAAATCTACCAAGTGGTTTTTCCGATTCACTAGCTAGGACTGTTCGATCCTTTTATCGAGAATTGGTGTTTGTAGGTTGTTTTATTCCGGTCTAGATTCCCAGACCACCTTAAATTTAAGTAATAGATCAGCCGTTCGTTGTCAAAAAAAAAAAAAAAAAAATCTACCAAGTACCAAGTCTCAAACAAATTTCAATTTCTTTCTAAACCATAATTACTATTAAAAAATAGTCACTCGAAATTTCCACCCTTGTGATGATCGATGAAAACATCCAAACAAAATAAAAATAAAAAAGAGAAATAGATACATAATTGCAATAATTAAAAAAAGCTGAGATTATTGCCGGTTGGTACTTCTAGCCAGAGACTGAAGATTGCACCGGACAATAGTATCAACAAAGCTAACAGTCTCCTCCTCAGTGTTTCCCGGCGGCACATCAACAATATAAGACTCCACCACGACGGTTCCTCCCTCGTCTGACGCATGCAGTGTCGTCACCGATCGGTAATTCTCTAGCCGGTGGTCCCCACCCACGACGCTAAAACTTATCACGTGACGCTCCTCGTCCAAGATCTCAAGCCTCTCGGTGCTCGAGACCGCAGGGAGTCCCGAAACAACCATGACCTCCCTGAGATCTCCTGCGTGTAGCCCGTCGCCTTGCATGATACGGCACTGCCTGATGAAGTTCTTGTAAGCTCTAGGGTTGTCGAAACGACGCAGGAGGGCCCATACTGACTCGGGAGGCGCGTGGATCATCTTCACCACCGAGGAACAGCACTGATTCGGACCAACTTCGTATGTGTGGTGCATCGCCACGTGCTCTGGCACATGCATGCCGCGCGTGAGACACACACGTCTGATCAAACCATCGGTGTGGAAGCCGTTGGAGGTGTCGGAGCCGTGATGGATCTGCACCGCTGATCTCATCTCTGATATCTTATTTTCTCGGTTATTTTTGTTTCCTTCTCTATATGATATAGCTCTTGTTATGTGAATGAGAAATAATGGATTCGTATATATTGGGTGATGAGGAAGAAGAAGTTTTTTGATCTTGGTCGCTGTCGGTTGTCAAGTTGCTTTTGTTTGAGAAAATGTAAAAGGTTGATCAACTTTTAAATAATAAGATATGAACATATTGTGTTTTCTTTATAAATATTTTTATTGATAGATAGATAGATAGAGATAGCTGGGGATGTGAAGGATTCGTGTGTATATACTATATAGACTCAGTTGTGTTTGTATATGTGACCATGTATGATATATTATACATTATACCATCTTACTTCCCATGATCTTTTACCTTTAGACGTCTCCTTTCATTTTCTACAAAAACATTCCATTCCATACTCCTGATTTTCCGTACTGACTAATTTATATTGTAGAATCTACAGGGTTTAATTATATTGATTCTAGAAATTTGTTTCTCGAGAAAGTTAATCTCAGTTGTCAATTTTTTAGGAAATATGCCATTACCTATAGTAAAAGATTTGATTTTGTTATAAGATATTCTAATAGTAGCATGTACAATATTCCCTTCAAGGGATGATTGAGATCAATTGAGGATGATATATCTTTTATATAAGAAATCGTGGATGATTATATATTTATTTGAAGTAAACGTTAATTCTGACTATTTATTTTCAAATGTTCATAACATATGGTATCATCATCCGTCTATATCTTATCTATCAGCAGGAATAACGCATGTGAAATGTGGTCTCGATAATAATTGGTTGTGTTAATCAAAAGCCATGGCCCCATAAGAATGGCTAATTCAGACAACATACATGCACGAGCACACGTGCATGCACATATGTTGGTGTTGTGTAAGTATATAGTATGTATGTATGGTATATATGAATATATGTGTATGGAGAGAGAAGTTTGGAGGAAACGAGGAAGGTGTCAAAGAGCTTACGCCTGACGATGCAAGTGGATGTTGCAACTTGCAAACTTCTTTGGACTTAGTTTAAGGTGGAAGATTATCCTTTCCTTTTTCTCTATTTGTTTTATTCTTGTTGCCATTTTAATATTATTCTCCCATTTAGTACAAAGGTTGTTGCATCCCGCGAATTCGTATATTTATACTTTCAGATTATAATATTCTGAAATGACGACATTGGTGTGATACCCTACATCAGTTTCACATAATTGTCATGCAGGTATGTTAGCTTAACAGGGCTATTTTAATTTGTATGGATTAGATGCATTAATTTCGATAATCGGAATCGATATTTGTAACTCGGTATTACATTTTTGACGCGATTAAAGAGGCTCACAACTTTACATATACAAAGAGAAGTATTACTGAAAAGTCCAAATAGTTCAAGATCTTTCTTTATCCTTCGGAATGTTGAAAAGAAGCTGCCTGAGAAACATCTCTTGAAGATAATAACTACAACAAACGTTACTGACCAATTTGGCTGTTTTCACTTACCATTTTGCTCTTTTAATAGGAGGCATGTTCCTTTTCATAATAATAATTTCAAAATATCAACGCCGCTTTTATCATATAATGCACCCACTTATCCATATTAGAAGCATACACACAACATGTGAACAAACACAAAAATGTTCGTATATATAAACACGCATCAATCTTTGTAGTGAATGTATATATCTACTTTTGTAAATAGGAGAAACTTGTTCAAAAATATTGAATTCTCGAATTTAAAATACACAATATCCTTCTATACTTTTTTTTCCACAAAATATATATCCTTCTAGACACGAGTCAGAGCTTATTTGAACGAATCACAAAATAATTAATGATTTTGTTTAGTTCTTTAAAACAGTAACTAGGCGTGGGACTTAGAAAATGGATTAAACCAGTATTTTATATATAGTAGCTAGGTCTTTTGTGTTCATGCATAATGTATAACTAAATTTAGGAGATAGGCCAATTAGACGTAGAAAATCGAACTTAAGGCCCATCAGGTATGACACATTTAAAAGTTCATTCACGTTGGATAACAGGAGGGACTACAAAAGAAGTTACATAACCAAAGAGATTCAGTTTAGCAAGTTACACTCTGTGTTATAGAGAATACAATTTCTCGCAGTACAAAAATATACAGTTCATTAGAAAATAGGTCTTATGAGGTTCTCTATATTTCAAAAATGTCAATAGAGTCTCAAACACTCATGATGGTATATAAGGCAAAATACAGAATACAAATATACATCCAGCTATATCCCATAGTCTCACTTCTCCAGATCCAAGAAACTCAAATCAAAGAACTCATCACTAGGGGTGGGCACGGATCGGATATCCGGGTTTTCGAAGGTATTTGTGATTTGCTTCGTATGTTACGGATATCTGATTTTGGTATTTGCTTTGCTTCGGAAAAATACGGATATCCGGAAAAACGGATATCCGAAAAATAAACAGATATTTGCGGATATTTACGAATACTTACGAATATCTCATCGGTTGAAAATAATCTTATATAAATTTATTTTGTAAAAATTTTGTTACATGATATATAAAATAAAAAATAAAGAAGTAGTGAATTTACATATTTTATAATTTTTTATGTTTAAGTTAACAACTATAATAACACAAAACTTAAGATTTTTTTATAATTTTCATAATTTTTCTCTTCTTTTTATCTAATAATTTTATATAAGTAATAATGTGAATCTAATTATTCAAATCATAAGCTATAATAATAATTTTATACATTTAAAATTATTATTATAATCAATAAAATTATTATTATAATCAAAATATACATATATTTCTATATTTACGGATCGGATCGGATATCCGCTTCCCAAAATTTTAATATTTGTGATTTGCTTCGATTTTAACGGATATTGATTTTTAGTATTTGCTTTGATTCGAAAGTTTACGGATATCCGGAATTTTCGGATCGAATCGAGACCTTGCAGAGGCTGGAGTCCCATTTGCTGCTTCTCAATTTCAGACAATCCACCAACTACATTGTCCCCTGGGCATTGGTTCTGGTTCAAGCCTGTAAAAATGTCACCTAGAAGCTCAGTAACATCAAACATCTCCGTAGAGTCCCAGCGACTCTGATCCACATCCTCAGGCCAACCGTAATCTGAAACAGAGAGCGATTCAGTCTGTTTCTGACAGGTTTCTGCTTGCTTCTCCAGAACTTGGCTCCAATACTTGTCTTCAAACTCACTCAACCAATCACCTCTTGTAACATCTACCTTACCGTTCTTCTTTACCTCTTCTTCATACGTGTAGGCACCATTCTTGGGATTAGCTTCACCAAAGGACTTGGAATCATAATCTGCATCTTCTGTTTTCACATGAATAAGTCCTGGAGCCGTGCACACCTCAGAGTGACTTGAACTACAAGTTACATCGGACAGAGATGACTGAGGGAAATTGAGACGGGCCATAGGACCATACATAGCACTAGCAGCTTCGTCATAAGCACAAGCAGCTTCCTCAGCGGTTGAGAAAGTGCCGAGCCAAAGCCTACTACCTCGGTCAGGCTCTCTAATCTCAGCGACCCATTTACCCCAAATCCTCTGCCTAACTCCCCGGAAACTACACTGACTATTCTCAGGTCCTCCTTTGCCTTTCATACACCCTTTCTTGGATCCTTTCGCAGGTACCTTCCGCTTCTTGGTGGAAGCTTCTTCATTGTTCTCCTTCCATATCTGAAGCCTCTCGGCCACAGTGGTCCCATCACGTCTACTTCTTGACTTCCTTTTTCTCGGCGCATCGAGTTGTGTACTATTAATATCTCCACTATGATCATAAACTGCCATTTGATGTCTCACCTAAAACAACACAAATCTACAAAATAGCAGCAATAATTATATATCAGAAATACGAGTCCTTTTGTTATAATACCATCAAAACAATATTTGAACACATCACTTAAATCAAGAATACACAAACAAGAATACCTATTGGTGTAGAGAACTCTTGTGATCGAAATCAAATCTGTTTCTGTAAGGAAATAAATCACTCTAGTGATATCTCTCTCTTTTGCTCAGAAAGGTTTGTATCAGAAAATTATAATATCTGTTACGAGAAGGATCAGTGATCTATTTATAGAATTCTCTAGATATTTCTGATACTATTATTATACTTTTATGTTCTTTATAATAACGACGTGTCACTGTTTGATTTGGTTGTTGGGGCTTAGACTGGCTTAGATGTCTTCTCTGACTGACTAGTGTCCGGCATCTTCTCGAACCACCCGAAACGCGCTGTTGATACGGAGAAGTAAAAATATCTAAAACCTTTTTCATAAAAGTATTATAGATAACATCATAAGAAAACTGCATAATAATAATTTTAAATTATGTTGAATATTTTATTAGACCAGTTACAGGTGACAGCAGCTCATGGTTGCATCTGTTGTCTTCGTGTTACTGACTCCTGCTCCCTTCTCGACAGTTCTTGTCGTTATCCACTTGTTAGACAAATGTAATTTTTCAACGATTTGTCTTTAATTATGTTCGACATGACTTCTAGTTACTAGAATAGTAAATGGATGATGTAATCGCTTGTATGCTGCAAATTATAACATTTTTAATATTCTCCCTTAATTTCAAAGGACGATGGTTACTTTAGTTTTGTAAATTAACGAGTTTCAATCTACATAAGGACGTGTAAATTAAATATTTTATTGGCAACGTTTAAACAGTATATTTTACCAAGGACGTGTCAACTGCCGAAGCTCAAACCTGGTTGGCTTGGCTTGGACCAGAACCGAAGGTCCTTCCTTAATCAAATAATAATATTGTTGCAATGCAAGTTGTTAGGAGTTGCAGCCAGCCACAGCCACTTCATCTACTACGTGTCTCTAAGGCCACTAATGATATCAGTCTACGCAATTGCCTAAGAGCAACTTCAATGGTTTTTCAATACCAGTATCTCATATAAATTTTGATATAAAATAAAGTAAATTAATATCTCAATTCAAAACTTTTTGACAAAATATCTCACATTTGAGGTATCTATGTATTTTATCTTGTGTTAGATTTATGAGATACTACTATAAGGCAGTATCGGCTGATGGCATGTGCACAAGGTGCTTAGGTACATGGTCCAAAATTTTTTCTCTAACTCCTATTTGAGCAAACATCTTATAACGATACATTCCTCCGCAAAGAACCAGAAGCCCTTTAAGACAAGGCCCATAAAAGCCTGCTCCGTAAATTGACTATACGACAGCGTTTGACTGAGACGCTGCATCTTTTGTTGTTTTGTCGTCAAAGAAGAAGATTATTTGGCAGAAGAAGAAGACGACGAAAAATGGGGAAACAGCCGGTGAAATTGAAGGCAGTGGTATACGCATTGTCACCATTTCAGCAGAAGATCATGACTGGTCTATGGAAAGATCTTCCCGAGAAGATCCACCACAAGGTCTCCGAGAATTGGATCAGCTCTATTCTCCTCCTCGCTCCCGTCATCGGAACCTACTCGTACGCTTCTCTCTCTCTCTCTCAATCGATGTTCTTGAATCTGATCGTTACTTTAGGCGAGATCTGATGTTTTGGATTGGATAAGACGAAGAGAAATGATTAATGACTATTGAGGAATTAAACTTTTGTTTGTGTAATATTTTGATTGAGAACTTAATCATTGTTATGAGCTTTAGGTATGCTCAACACTACCAAGAACAAGAGAAGCTAGAGCACAGATTCTAAGCGTTGGAGAGATGTTCTGATTATACAAGAATCCTATTCTTCCTTCTTTTTTTTTTTCATTTTCCAAATTGTTTGCATGAGAGTTTGTTTTCGCCAACACTCATGATGTAGAAGCGGAGAGAGTTTGCTTCATTGCGGGTTTTGGTTGAATAAATTTTGTGGATGTTATGAATAACACTACCGTTGAACACGTTTGAATAATCTAATATTCAGAAGCTTTGGTGGTGTTTTTATCATATGATCGTTTATTACTAGGAGTTTTCAAAATATGGTAAAAACGATGCAAGCTCAATGTAAAGTAAAAGACAAGTAGAGAAAATATATATGTTTATAGCAAATAGCAGCAAAGTTGAACATAGAGAAATGAGGAGCCATACAAAAGAGAATTTAAGTCGCAAGGGATGGTAACTGGAAACTTGAAACAATGAGAAAAGGAATGCTTAAAAGAGACTTTTTTTGTATGAATAATGTTAAATTTATTCAAACAAACAAATACATTTTTTTGCATCCAAATGATGCGGACAAGAGATAGATTTTCATATTTTAGAGTGTATGAAACCGAGTCCAGCTTCAAATGCTTGGTCTTAAAAGTTAGCCAGTTGCATACCCTTCTTCAAACCGAGTGTCTCCCCAACTACCTCAGTGAACTGAATCTGTTTTTCATGGCCTTGATCATTTTCTGCGGTGTTGATGGTGTAGCTTCGCAGTTTGGACCAGCTCGAACTGGTTAGCAAAGCCAGGATCTTCTCCCATTCAATGGTTAAAGCATCGTCAAGCAGACCCAACGCCAGATTATGCCCAACGCTTGATCACTCATTAGTCATGAATTCTATTTTTTTCTGAATTAATGCCACTTATGTTACTAAATAAAACCTTGAAAACAATACATAATGTCTATGTGACACCATAATTTTATTTTGTGTGTTCAAATTTACAAGAAAGCCTGGCGCAAGTTTTATTTTAGCTTGTAGATACTTATTATAATCTTAGATTTACCTAGAATATTATCTAACTTTGTGAATTCAAATTTTGGTTTTCTGATGACAATATTCATTTAAATAACTAAAACTTCCTATAAAACAACAAAAGTTATACGCAGTTTGAAGCTTAAAGATTTGATGTCATATATAAAAATATATCTGTTTTCTAAATTGATTTTCACTTTATAAATATATCACCTGCGCACCAGGTTGTCCGATATCATTTATATACTAAAGTTGGAACGACTGTCCTTTTATTTTTTCTTCCACGTTAATATTGATATATTATTTTACATATATATTATATCAAATTAAGGACTAGAAGATGCATAATCATAGTGTAAAACTGATCAATTAAACATCACTATCTATTTTATAACGCACTTATATGGTTATATATAATGTCACGCTTATCCCGGCTAAAATATAAAACTGATCAATTAAACAGCATTATTTATTTTATTAACTCCCATTAATATCTTATTTTTATCGTTCTCTATATAAACCGTGACTCAGTTAAGCTTTGTTCTTCAAGCACACTAATCAACATAAGTTGCCTCAGAGTCCTTGTTTACTCAAACATGTCTTCTAATCAGCTTATTGCCTTTTTGGTTATGGTCGTTACACTCTTATTGCATGGTAATAACAATATCGTCGTCGAGGCACAACTTAGAGCCGATTTCTACTCAGCATCTTGCCCTCGTCTTCACTCCATCGTCCGAACAGCTGTTAGTAAAGAGGTTACAATGGGTGCATCTCTCCTTCGTCTGTTCTACCTCGACTGCTTCGTCAGGGTTAAGTTTTTTTTTTTTTTTGTCAGGGTTAAGTTTGTTTTACCTTTATCTTTTTCTTCCTTGCACCTCAAGAAACCTTGCATGAATTTTTTTTTTTTTTGTTATTTCCTTACAATCATAGTCATAACTTACATAAATATAGGGATGTGACGGGTCGATTCTACTAGATGACACATCAAGCTTGACGGGAGAACAAAGTGCTATCCCAAACCACAATTCTGCTCGCGGGTTTAATGTCATTGACACCATCAAATCAATGGTTGAGACAGCATGTCCTGGGGTCGTGTCTTGTGCTGATATCTTAGCCATCGCAGCTAAAGACTCCGTTGAACTCGTAAGCTTCCTATATCCTCTCTTATAATCCTGTTTTGCAACCGGCCAAAATATATATATATATACTTTTATTATTTTTATAATATTAATATTTTCTTAATGGTTTTTTCTTTCTTTAATATATTAATATTTTTTAAACTTTTATTAATTTGTTTATGTTGAAGCTTGGAGGACCGAGTTGGCAGTTGGGATTAGGACGAAAAGATTCAAGAATAGCGATTCAGGGGGAAGTGCTGAGTAACATTCCGGCGCCATTTATGAGTGTGAACCAGCTTACTAGTATTTTCAACGCAAATGGACTCACCACTAGGGATCTGGTTGCTCTCTCCGGTTCGTTTCAGTTCTCTCTTTAAACCCAACTTACCTTATGGTTTATTCTTGATTGCAGTTTTTAAAAATGTGAGTTCCTAATAAAATTTTGCTAAAATAGGTTACAGCAAACTTATTTCCGTAATATTTATGTTTTAATCTAATATTACTTCAGTTTTTTATTTCACCAATTTATTTTACGGTGAAAGAGAAAATAATCCAGAATGTTTGGACACAAAATAAATTAATTTGGTTTTTGTCGAAGCTTTCTCGTTTCTTCGAATTTGTTTAGTCTAATACATTTTTGTTCACGAACCACTATATTTTTATCTTTCTTTGCCAAAGTAACGTAATCATACGCATGCATTCCCTATGAAGTAATTTAATGGTACTGAGTTGATATTAATAATTAAGTTAACCTATTTAAAATTAATTCTTTTCATTTATATTAAATATAGTTTTATACTTTAAATTTTATAATTCTAATATATATGCTTAATAAATTTTTTCATATTCCTTTTTAGCACATTAATTAATAAAAGTATAAAATAATATTTAATTTATCAAAGAAAGACAAAACAAACAAAAAAAAGAAATTATACTATTTAATTTTTCTTCAGGAGCGCACACGATAGGGCAATCCAAGTGCGGAAACTTTCGAGAGAGGATCTACAATGACACAAACATTGACCCCGCTTTCGCCACCGAACTTCGCAAAAATTGCCCGAGTAACATCGGCTCTGGAGACGAAAACTTAGCTCCACTCGACTCCCTCACGCCGTTTACTTTCGACAACAACTACTTCAAGAACCTCATAGCTAAGAAAGGTCTTCTCCATTCCGACCAAGAGCTCTTAAACGACCGCTCCACCAACAACTGGGTCCGTCTGTACAGTACTAGTCCTCGCCTTTTTCGTGGCCATTTCGCAGAGGCAATGAGGAAGATGGGTGAAATTAGGCCATTGACTGGTAGTGATGGTGAGATCCGTAAGCGTTGCGGGATGATCAACTGATTCATATCTACTTTAGTAGTCGAGTCACCCATGCATCTTCCCAAATAAGACAGTTTGGATATATCCTTTAAAATGTTTTTACTTTTCCTTCCTTGTTTCTTGTTGGACGTGTGTATGTTTTTTTTTTAAAATAAAATCATGTTTCCATTACTGTATGACTACTGTAATAGTCAACACTTGTAACCGTGCTTAAAAATAATAATAAAGTAACGTTGATTACTAAATTTGACAGTTTAGTCCAATTTCTCAGAGCAACATTATTAGAGGTCCTTCCTCTAGGGTCCTTAATACACATATATATATATATATGTATATATTATATAAGCGTATATAATTGTGGGCTAAGAGCATCTCCAATGTAAAACGCCATTTTTTTCTCCAAAATGGAGTAAAAGAGAATATGGAATAAAAATGCTCCAACCCCACTCCATTTTCCACTCCATAATGGAGTGATGAACAAACAAAAAATAGATTACTCCATTTATGGAGTAAACTCTATTATGGAGTAGAATATGGAGTAGGGTTGGAGTGTTTTCTACTCCATATTCCCTTTTACTCCATTTTAGAGTCAAAAATGGAGTTGAGTTGGAGATGCCCTAAGGACTTCACGGAAACCCAAACCGAAAGTTTCTTAATTAAGGAACTTTCGGTTTGGGTTTCCGTGAAGTCCTTAGCCCGCAATTATATACACTTATATAATATATACATACATATATATGTGTATTAAGGACCCTAACACAAGGACTTCCAATAATCTTGCTCTCATGAACGTTGGTTGATTACGGAATACAACATCATTTTTTTATATAAAACACCAATTTCTACAACTAATATTGATAAGACCATTAACTAGGGAACACATTGTGTAGCAAATCCAACATCTGACAAGTCTACAATCCGTAAAACAAAACCAACTAAAAAGATAACAGATATTGCTAGGCGGCATGATGAAATTTCGCAGAATAGCAAAAGATGTTTCTGTATTTCAGATGTGCAAAACCCTCTTCACAGCCTTTAAGATGATCACATCTTGGAACACAAAAAAGGAATATCAAAGAATTTTCAGTTTTACTTTCCACCTTCATTCACAAACCCTTCTTTACAACCTTCAAAGCCAGGACGAAGAAGCTTCTTCTTCCTGATCTTGTTTTGTTCAATCCTATCAGCAATGTTCCCTGATCGCTTTTGCTGTTTCTCCACTCTAACCTTTTGCTGTACTTCAACTCTCTCCTTCCACTTCTCCGCGTTCTTCTCGTGTCTCTTCCTCTCTTTGTGGATGCTATTTCATCTTAAATTTCATAAGTATATGATTGACACATAAGAAAAATCATTTAATTGATTTTAATTTAATTTATAGTAGGTTTTAGGAAGTTGGTGGTGAATATTAATGATTTGGTTGAAACTGTAGATCAATCGTTCCATTATAATGTAAACAACAAAAACAACTTTCTTTGAAAAAAAAGCAAGTTATGATAATAGAAAATCCTTTACATAAATTGTTTAATTTAATTTATAGTAGGTTTTAGGAAGTTGGTGGTGAATATAAATGATTTGGTTCAAACTTCCAGATCTACAGATTAATAATATTTTATTTTTTTGGTAACTTGTATATATTATAATCTGGAACGATTGATCTACAGTATTATTCTAGGCATATACATCAAATCAATAAAATCTGGAAGATGCATAATCTTGGTGTACATGGATATGTAACGTAGTGCTTATCACGGCAAGATATAAAACTGAAAAATTATAGTAGTATTAACCCCACTAATATCGCATTCCTCATCGTTTTCATCATCGGAAGCAATTCTGCTTAATTGGATGGGAATTCACGTGCTATTTACGTGATATTACATGTGAAATATTCATTAGAATCGATTTAGAAAGGCCATTGCTGCCGATAGACGAAACCCTATTTGTTTGAGGTCATGGAGGAATCGATATTATCGCTGGTCTTAGCAAGGAGACGTCGATTAAGAATTGGCTGATGGTTTTCAAGCAAACGACAACGGATGACTGACCAAGTCGTTTACAGGTGTTCTTCAATTTTATTTATTAGGCTAAGATTTGCAGGATAACATTTTATATAGAAATTATATTTATGTATTATTATTTATTTTATGTTTTTCTATATCGCCATTTGGTTAACAAAACTGATTTGGTTAACAAAAAAATGGAGACTAAAATATCTAGTCAATAAAAAATATTTACTGATAATATTATAGCTGAATATATTTTGGGGCAACTTTACCGTTTTTCTTTTTTTTTTTGAATATAACTTTACCGTTTTTCAACACTATAGTTTTAATATTATAGCTGATAACACCCTACGTGTCTATATAAACCCCGACTCCGCTATGCTGTGGTCTTCAAGCACAATAATAAAACTAAAAGTTGTCTTGCCATGGATTCAAATAAACTTGTTGCCTTTTTAGTTATCGTCGTTACACTATTACTGCAAGGTAATAGCAATACCGTCGTCGAAGCACAACTCGCCCAAACCTTCTACTCAGCATCTTGCTCTCTTCTTCTCCCCATCGTCGAAACAGCCGTTAGTTCCGCCATTTTAGCTGAGCCTCGAATGGGTGCATCTCTCCTTCGTCTGTTCTATCTCGACTGCTTCGTCAATGTAAGTTTCTTGCATGGTTTTAACATTTGTCCTCCTAATCATAATCATAACTTACATATTATTATAGGGATGCGATGGTTCGATTCTACTAGATGACACACCAACCTTCACGGGAGAACAAAACGCGGCCTCAAACCACAATTCTGCTCGAGGGTTTAATGTCATCGACAACATCAAAACAGAACTTGAGATAGTATGTCCCGGGGTCGTGTCTTGTGCTGATATTTTAGCCCTCGCAGCTAGAGAATCCGTCACAACCGTAAGCTCCCTTTATCCTGTCTTAGTCCGTTGTTTGCAAATTTCAAAAACCAAAACCAGACTGAAAATATATAGTTAGGTCTTGAATTGTTTTTGTCTTTTTTTTTAAAAAAAAATTTGTATATATATTGAAGCTTGGAGGGCCGAGTTGGAAGGTTTTTCTAGGAAGAAGAGATGCAATAACGGCGAGTCAAGCGGCGGCCAATAGTAGCATTCCGCCGCCGACTTCAAGTCTGAGGGAGCTTATTACGAGTTTCGGCAACCTTGGATTCACCCTTAGAGACTTGGTTGCTCTCTCAGGTCCCGTCCGTTTCATTTCTCTCTTTAAACACCCTATGCAACTATATTCGTTCATAAGTTTGATTCTTGATTGCAAATTTTTAAATATCGGGTTACTAAAAAAATCCGAAACAGGCTAATTTCCTTCTCTAATCTGCGTCTAAAAGAATATTAATTACACCATCAATCATCAGATATATATGTATATATATATATATAACAATTAATAGTTTAATTATCTTATAACAATAAGTATAAGATTTTTTCAAAATAAGTACATTTGTCAAATCCAACAGCTTTATTGTAAACAAAGTTAAATGTCATTATTACAAAAGAATCAAATGGATCTACATATATAAACACAATTTTAAAATTACAATCTTTCATTAAACAAAAACTCTGTAAAAAATAACTTTCAAGGCTGATCATAATCTAAGAAATTATTCATACACAACACCGAGAAAGAAATTCAAGTATGTATAAACTAACAAATAACTAAGTCAAAATTATTAAACAAATTATTATTTTTCTTCAGGCGCTCACACGATCGGACAAGCTCAATGCAGAAACTTCCGAACAAGGATTTACGACGAAAGAAACATTAACTCCACTTTCGCCACCACACGCCAGCAAACGTGCCCGATATCCTCAGGCTCGGGCGATGAAAATCTAGCTCCACTCGACTTTCTTACGCCTTCTTTTTTTGACAACAGTTACTTCGTGAACCTCAGGAGCCAGAGAGGTCTCCTCCATTCCGACCAACAGCTCTTCAACGGTGGCTCTGCCGATGCCCTTGTCCGTAAGTACAGCCAAAATCCAGTGAATTTTCGCCGTGATTTCGCGGCGGCGATGTTCAAGATGAGTCTAATGAGCCCCTTGACTGGTAGTGATGGTGAGGTCCGGCAGAATTGCGGGAGGATCAACTGATTTAAATCTTACTACAGATGTTACTCTCTCCAAATAAGATACATTTGGATAATCTCTCTTGATGTTTTCCCTCTTTTTTTTTTTTATTTACCTTCTTTGTGTTCAGTGTGTATGTTTGCTTTAATAACAATCTAATCACGAGTTATGATTTTCCTTTATGAAGTGTTTCTATTTCGTGCAAAACTCTGCTGGTCATGTCTTTAATTAACTATCAGTAAATGAGAAGAAGAAATAAGAAATATGCAAGAAATGCAATAAAATAGTAATATAAGTGCGTGGGTCATAAGTTTTGTTAAAGCTTTTATGAAATACTTTCTCTTTTCGTGGAATCCAAGTCTCTGAAAAATTATTAATAACGAATCTTTTTTTTTTCCAATAACGAATCATTTTAATAGAAGTTATATCTCTTGTTTGGATAATAGAACAATATAAGAGAGCAAAATATATGTTTTGTATCATGATCCGGTTAGCCTCTGCAAATGAGCTTCTGTATCTTTAGCTCTGTGACGGCTCATCAGACAAATTTGGCTTATCAAAAGCTGTTTCCTGTTAATAAATCATATTCTTGATCCCATCGTCATACCCTAAAATTCTTACCATTCTTGTTTAGTCGGTAAAAATGCTAGATCTTTTGTCATAACCTCTAGTTGTCAATTAGATGGGTTTGTGTTAATATATAAGTTGACGTAATAACACACGTCTTCCATTACACGTGGAAGTGCCAATGAGTAATAGAGTTCTCATGGCCTTGTGGCATGTCCATCCAGATTCATTTGCGAGAAGTTCACCTAGAAAATGCAAATTCTATTTCAGAACCTGATAAGACCATTAACTAGGAACACATTGTGTAGCAAATCCGACATCTGACAAGTCTACTGTCTACAATCTCTAAAACAAAACCAACTAAAAAGATAACAGATATTTATGGGGGGCATGATGAAATTTCGCAGAATAGCAAAAGATGTTTCTCTATTTCAGATGTGCACAGCCTTTAAGATGATATCAAAGAATTTTCAGTTTCACTTTCCACCTTCATTCACAAACCCTTTTTATTCTCCCTCTTGGCGATCTTCCTCATCTTGTTCTGCTCAATCCTATCGGCAATATTCCCTGACCTCTTTCGCTGCTTCTCAACTCTAACCTTAAAACAGAGTACTCAGTAGTGAACATACACTCAAGATATCATGATGATAACCTTAAAACAAATCTGGTGTATACATATTTACCTTGAGGCTTATCACTAACTTGCCAAGCTGATGATCGAGTTCTTGAAGCTTTGTTAATCCAAGAACGACCCTTTCATCATGGATCAAACACCCAAACATGATTCAAATCAGAAAAAAAAACATTATAACATCCATTTGAAATACTGAACAAAATAATGATTTAACTTTTTACACATTTTTATTGTCCACAACATTGTTTATTGAAGAAATTAGCCAATAATTTTGTTTCAATTTTCTAAAGAAATATAAAAAAATATATTGAACAATGCATATACATAAATACATGGTTTATACGAAAATTGAAAATAAACAACAAGTTTATAACAGCTAAAACTTTAGCTGAAGTCGTTAGTCATATGTAAAAAGAGCAAATAAACAACAATTTTGTACAGCTACAACTTTAGCTGACGTCGTTTAATATGTAAAAAGAGCTGAAGTCGTCTGACATTTGATGATTTTACAACCTGGTTTGTAGTTATGATCAACCGGAGTTTTCTTACATGCGGTTGGGTGTGTTTCGGATCACCTGCTGATTTTTTAATCATTATTGTATTCTAGTGAATGAAAATTTATTAATATTCATCTCGAATACTAAAATTTATCAGTTAAGCACAAGCGATGGAAGTATATAGTAGGATCGTTTTGATAGTACGAATTTTTATTCAAATTGTCGTTGTATTCCGATGCGAATACCCAATCTTTGGGATGATGATAAATGAATTTATAATTTTTAAAACAATAAGAAAAGCATCAGTTGTATTTACAAGTTGAAATCGTAATCCACATCAAATACATAAATGGAAGGGCAATTCTCTCAAATATCACTCTTTTAAGTTTTTATCACAAAAATAGACCTTAAAAATTAAAATGATCAAATATCACTTTTTATTTTGAAAATTTTAAGTTTTTTTTTTCTATTTTTTTTTAAATTTGAAACTCTATCTCCAAAACTCTACTCCTCAAATCTAAACAAAAAAATTTAAGATTAGTTAACCGAAAAGGTAAAAATATATATTTAATAAAACATTAAGTGCTATTTTGGTCATTTTTATTCTCAAGTACTATATTTGCGACAAAAAAAATTTAGTGTTATTTTAGTCATTTTAACTTATTTATATAATATAAGTAAAATACTTCTATTATGTAGTGTTCTTTGTTGTTTATAAAATTAATTATTATATGCCCCCACGCACAACGTGGTCCAATATCACAAAAGTATGTTAAAAGCTAGAACGATTGACCTGTTTATTTTTTTATTTCACGTTAATAATGATCTATTATTTTACGTATGTATATCAAATTAAAAATCTGGAAGATGCATGATCATGGCGTAAAATACTTCAGGTCACCACATGGATATTAATTGTCGCGCTTATCACGCCAAACTAAAAAGTAACTATTTTATTAAGCCTACTAATATCTTATTATCCATTATTTTCCTATTGCGAAGCTTCTGCTTCATTTTGATAACTATTTACGTAGTGGGACTGGGATTGACATCTAGATCTCAGTATTTACGTGATGTTGGGTGAGATAAATTCATTAGTATTGTTCAAAATCCAGTTTATAGAATGGATATTTACGTACTATTTACATAATGTTAGGTGAGATAAATTCATTAGTAAAAAAGTTGTGAACTCATCACTATTTTCTTTTCAAATCAGAGAAATAGTTTTTTTTAATTATTATATAGTTTCCAACTTTCCATCCATGATTAAAAAAAAATATTATTACTAAAATATAAACTTTTGTTCATCAAACCGTATAAATTTTAGCGACGTTTTCGTAAAGCAATTTGATAAGGAAAACTTAGAGATTAAAATGATTTGGTTAACAAAAAATGGAGATTAAGTATTTAGCCAATAAAAAGTTATTTATTTTTACTGATAATATTACAATCGAATGTATGTTGCCATGTTGGGGCAACTTTACCGTTTTTTACTTTAGTAACACCCCACGTGTCTATATAAACCTCGACTCCGCTATGCTGTGTTCTTCAAGCACAATAATAGTAGTAGAAGTCGTCTTATTATGGATTCAAATCAACTTATTGCCTTTTTGGTTATCCTCGTTACACTGTTACTGCAAGGTAATAACAATACCGTCGTCGAAGCACAACTCAGAACCGATTTCTACTTATCATCTTGTCCTCTTCTTCTCCCCACCGTCCGAACAGCAGTTAGAAATAACGTTCTTCGCGAGCCTAGAATGGGTGCATCTCTCCTTCGTCTGTTCTACCTCGACTGCTTCGTCAACGTAAGTTTGTTCCTAGCTTGCATGCTTTTATTTTTGTTCTTTCCTTGTAATCATAGTCATAACTTACATTTATATATGTAGGGATGCGATGGTTCAATTCTACTAAAAGACACATCAACCTTCACGGGAGAACAAAACGCGGTCTCAAACCACAATTCTGCTCGAGGGTTTAATGTCATCGACGACATCAAATCATTGGTTGAGAGAGTATGTCCTGGGGTCGTGTCTTGTGCTGATATTTTAACCATCGCAGCTAGAGACTCTGTCTCAATGGTAAGCTTCCTTTATGTCCTATCTTTGCCCGGTTAGTCAAATTTCTAAAACCAAACCGGACTAAGATATTCTTAAATTGTTTATGTTGAAGCTTGGAGGTCCGTTTTGGGAAGTTCTTCTAGGAAGAAGAGATGCAATAACGGCGAGTCAAGCGGCGGCGAATAGTAGCATTCCACTGCCGACTTCAAGTCTGAGCGAGCTTATCAGTAGTTTCAGCCAACATGGACTCACCCTTAGAGATTTGGTTGCACTCTCCGGTCCGTGCCTTTCATTTCTCTCTTTAAACACAATTTTTTATAAATATGCAAACTATATTCGTTCATAAGTTTGATTCTTGATTGCAAATTTTTATATATCGGTTACTAATAAAAATTACTAAAAAAAAATCCAAAACAGGCTAATTTCCTTCCCTAATCGGCGTTTAAAAGAATATTAATTACGCCATCAGTCATCATATATATATATATATAGTTTAATTATCTTATAACAATACGTATAAGATTTTTTAAAAATAAGTATTAAATTTTTCAAATCCGACAATTTTAATTCAAACAAATTTAAATGCCAAGATTACAAAAAAAATTAGATGGATCTACATATATATACATAAATTTAAAATCACAATATTTCATTAAACTAAAACTATGTAAGTAATAAAATTTAAATAATCTAAGAAATTATTGATACACAACACCGAGAAAGAAATTCAAGTATGTACTAAACTAACAAATAACTAAGTCAAAATCAGATGTCAAAAAAAAAAAAAACTAATTATTAAACAATTTATTTTTTTTTTTCAGGCGCGCACACGATCGGACAAGCCCAATGCAGAAACTTCCGAACAAGGATCTACAACGGAGGAAACATTAACCCCACTTTCGCCACCTTACGCCAGCAAACTTGCCCGATAATCTCAGGCTCCGGCGATGAAAATCTAGCTCCACTTGACTTTCTTACTCCTTTTGTTTTTGACAACAGTTACTTTGTGAACCTCATGAGCCAGAGAGGTCTTCTCCATTCCGACCAAGAGCTCTTCAACGGTGGCTCCACCGATGCCATCGTCCGTGAGTACAGCCTAAATCTATTGAATTTTCGCCGTGATTTCAGGTCGGCGATGGTCAAGATGAGTATGCTGAGCCCATTGACTGGTAGTGATGGTGAAGTCCGGCAGCATTGCGGGAGGATCAACTGATACAAATGATCTACTCCAGATGTTATTTACTCCCTCCAAATAAAGATACATTTCCATAATCCCTCTTAATGTTTTCCCTCTTTTTTTATTTACCTTCTTTGTGTTCGGTGTGTATGTTAATTTTCTTTAATAAAAAGCTAATGACGAGTTATGATTTTCCTTTATGAAGTGTTTCTATTTCGTGCAAAACTCTGCTGGTTATGTCTTTAATTAACTATCAGTAAATGAAAAGAAGAAAGAAGTAATTTTAACAAAGCAAAAGAAGTAGTAATATGCAAGAAATGCAATAAAATAGTGAAATAAGTGCGTGCGTCATAAGTTTTGTTAAAGCTTTTACGAAATACTGTTTCTTTTCGTGGAATCCAAGTCTCTGAAAAATTATTAATAACGAATCATTTCAATAAAAGTCATATCTCTTGTTTGGATAACAGAACAGTATATATGAGAGCAAAATATATGTTTTGTATCATCATGATCAGGTTAGCCTCTGCACATGAGCTTCTGTATCTTTAGCTCTGTGACGGCTCAGTAGACACATTTGGCCTATCAAAAGATGTTTTGAGTTAATTAATCATATCCCATCGTCATACCCTAAAATACCATTTTTGTTAAGTCAGTTAAAATGCGAGATCTTAATTTTTTTTTTTTTTGGATTCTTTAAATGGAATAATGATAAAAGATCTAAATATTCTGCATTATTTTTTAATTCATTCAGCAATCATTCCAAGAGCTTTTTTCCTCAACGCATTCCAAGAGCTCTTGGAGATGGGTTTGTGATGATCTTTGTCCATTTTTCTTCTTGATGGAAGTTGACAACTAGAGTTTAAGTGTCTTGGTACGTGACGTAATAACACACGTGGAAGTGCCGATTCAGTAATAGAGTGTTCATGGCCTTGTGGCATGTCTATCCAGATTCATTTGCGACAAGTTCATCTAGAAAAATGTAAATTCTATTTTAAAACCTGATAAGACCATTAACTAGGAACACATCGTGTAGCAAATCCAACATCTGACAAGTCTACAATCTGTAAAACAAAACCAACTAAAAAGATAACAAACATTGCTAAGGGGGCATGATGAAATTTCACAGAATAGCAAAAGATGTTTCTCTATTTCAGATGTGCAAAACCCTCTTCACAGCCTTTAAGATGATCACATCTTGGAACACAAAAAAGGAATATCAAAGAATTTTCAGTTTTACTTTCCACCTTCATTCACAAACCCTTCTTTACTACCTTCAAAAAGCCAGGACGAAGAAGCTTCGTCGTGGTTGGGTGTTTCGGACCACATGCTACTCTTCTAGTTCTAGTGTTTTGCCTGTGCCTCCGTATCATATATAACTCTTCTTCTATTTAATTCCCTCGCAACCCTCTTTCAACAAAACCCCGCGATAAAAATCATGATCATTATGAGTAAAGCAAAAACAGGAGAATTAATGTTTCTCATGTGTGTAGTAGACGTAGACGTTGTTTATTTTCCTTTTCTTCTTTGATTTTGCTTTGAGTTGCTGATTAATTACGAGTTTGATGGCTCTTTAATTTTAGTGAACTATCATTTGTTAAAAAAGTTACGTCATTCAGTTTTCGAATGTTTTTTTTTTAAGTAAAGAATATTCTTGGAAAATATGTGAACTTGACAGCCCTTTCCTCAACTACTCCTTGCCGTCTTCGGACAGCATATTCGCTTGAGAAGAGAAATACATCGGTGAGAGCCCGCACCATTCCGCCACGATACGTCCGTTCTTCCACATCTTATCATGACCAGCGAAGGAGGAGGGAACATGTATATCAATAAGATGGCACTATCAGAATGATATCAAGATAGCCAGCTGCTATATAATATATGTAAAAGATTTATATTATTTAAGTGTTTTTGGTTGTTTATAAAATTCATTTATATATACCCCCGAGCACAACGTGGTACAGTGCAGTATCATGTATATATTAAAAGCTGGAACGACTGACCTTTCAATTTTTATTTCTCGTTAGATATATGACATTAAGAATTGGAAAATGCATAATCGTAGTGCAATACATCAGTTCACACCACATGGCACGTGGATATATAGTGTCGCGCTTATCACGTCCAAAATATAAAACTGACAAATTAATCACGTTTGGTATCTTATTAATATCCTTATTAATTATTAAGATATTTTGAAAATAATATATATTTGAATGATTAATATAAACAATCAAATATGTAGTTGACAAAAGAAAAACAATCAAATATGTCGTATAAATAATTAATGAAATTATCCAATATGACTTTTGTACCGTAGATTTTTTCTCTAATAATAGAGAAGATGATATATAAAAGATTTCTATATATGACCTAAGTGTTTCTTTTCTCGCAAAAGTTATATATATGCCCCGCGCACAACGTGGTCGAGTATCATGTATTATATTAAAAGCTGGAACGATTAATCAATTAACTTTTATTTCACGAAAATAATGATCTATCATTTTATTATATAGAAACTGGAAGATGCATAATCATAGTGTAATACATCAGGTCACCACACGGATATATAATGTGGCGCTTATCACGGCCAGAATATAAAACTGACAGATTAAACACTATATCTAGTATTTTATCAACCCCATTAAGATCCTGTCTCCTCATCGTTTTCCAAGTCAACTATAGCCATCGGAAGCTGCTCTTAATTTGATGGCTATTTATGTAATATATACGTGATGTTGGAAGAGAAAAATTCATTAGCAAGCCATTGTTAAACCCCAGTGAATAGAGAGAAAAGAAACCGATAATTTATATTTAGACGGCCTTTGCTGCTGTTATCCGGGAATTTTTAACTCTAAAACATTAAGATGAACTATTGTTTACACCGTTAACAAAAAGAGGGTGAAAAGGAGAAACCGACATCAAGTCCTAATCCAAAATTTACGAGCGCTTAACATATGATCCTAATTTAAAAAGCATTAGTAGGAGCGACCGATACACCACACCTAATTTGCATAAGGCTATGATCGACTTCTCCAACCAAATCCCAAGATCATTAGGATGAGCATAAATAGATTGGAAGAATATATATTATCGTAGTAGACATCCACCAAGAATTGAGGGATAGTTTTTAAGCATAAGACGAGTGACGACTGACCAAGTCGTTTATAATTATTTAACATTTATACAAAAAAAACGTTTACAGTTTTCTTTAATATTCATGTATTGTAATTAAATATTCTTTTTTTGCTAACCAATTTTTTTTTTTTTTGAACCAACCGAAGTTCGAACCCGGAATGAGAATGTGGGAATATGTAAATTTAGCCGCTAGACCGAAGAGAATCATCTGTAATTAAATATTCATTGATCGATAAAATAACTTCCTTTATCATCATTTGTTTTTGGACTGACAAATACATCTAGTTGAATAATTTTTTGGCATTTTTTCTGGTTTTAAACACTATCCTTTCACTTTAGAAACACCCTACGTCTCTATATAAAACTCTCGACTCCGTTATGCTTTGTTCTTCAAGCACAACAATCAAACTATAAGTTGTCTTATCATGGCTTCAAATCATCTCATTTTGGTTATCTTCGTTACACTTCTACTGCACAGTAATAACAATACTGTCGTTGAGGCACAACTCCGAGCCGATTTCTACTCAAAATCTTGCCCTTCTCTTTTCACCATAGTCGGAAAAGCCCTTCGGGAGCCCATTGCACTCCATCGTGCACCGAGTATCATTCGTCTGTTCTACCTGGACTGCTTTGTCAACGTAAGTTTGTTTTACCTTTCTCTTTAATTATGTTCCTTGCATGACTTTTTTGGTTCTTTCCTTTTAATCATAACCATAACTCACAACTTTTATATATATATATATATATATATATATATAATAGGGATGCGATGGTTCAATTTTACTAGAAGACACATCAAACTTTACGGGAGAACAAAACGCGGCCCCAAACCGCAATTCTGTGCGCGGGTTTGACATCATTGGACTCATCAAATATGAGGTTGAGAGAGAATGCCCAGGGGTCGTGTCTTGTGCTGATATCTTAGCCATCGCAGCTAGACAATCCGTCCAATGGGTACGCTCCCTAAATCCTCTCTTAGTCAGGTTTTGCAAATTCCCAAGACCAAGAGTACTCTTCTTGAAATTATTATATATATATACGTCTTAATTTGCTCATGTTGAAGTATCTGCGGTCGAGTTGGGAGTTGCTATTAGGAAGAAGAGATGCAAGAACGGCGAGTCAAGCGGCGGCCAACAGTAGCATTCCATTGCCGACTTCGAGTCTGACCGAGCTTATTAGTATTTTTGGCAAACTTGGATTCAGCCCTAGAGAGTTGGTTGCTCTCTCTGGTATGTTTCATTTCTCTCTCTTTGAACCCAACTTTTTATTGTATTATTCCTTCTATTTCATATTAAGTGTCACATTAACTCTATGCACATAGATTAAGAAAATAATTAATTTTACATATTTTCTATATAAAAACATAATTACTTATACACTTAATTATTTTTTTAACTATTAAACTACAGTATAAACTAATAAATTTTGTATTAAAAGTCAAAAACAACACTTATTTGTAACAATTCTCTACAACACTTATTATGAAAGAGACGGAATAATATTCAACTATTATTTATACATAGCTTAAGGTTGATTCTTGATTGCAAATTTTAAATTATGAGTTACTAATAAATAACATTAATAAAATATCGGCAACAGGAGAATTCTTTTCTTTTTTTTCTTTAACAAAGTTGAATTCCTTTCCTTATCTGTATTTTTAATTTGATACTTCTTCAAGTTTTTTCTTTCACCAATTTGTTTTACAGCAAAAAGAGAAAATAGTCGAGAATAATGCGAGACAAAATAAAATTTTTTATTGACTTATTATGTTCAACAAATTATTATTCACGTACGTACCACCAGCTTCATCTTTATTTCCCAAAGTTACGTAATTGTGTAAATTGTTAGTACCGACAAAGTATTTCACTAATATTTTTATTAACAAATAGTTAAAGTTGTTTCATGTTTACAAAATTATTAAACAATCAATTATAATTAACAATACATTATTTTTTTATAACTGAGTATTCCCAACAACTTCTAACTAATAAAATTTAATAAACATAATTATATTTTTGAAGTTTACAATTTATCAGTAATAAAGATATTAAAAGTGTAAAATATGTATTTTTTGAAACCATTTTTTTTAAACATGAATCTTTTTGGAACAAAAAGAATATTAATAATTAAGTCAAACTATCAAACAATTTACTATACATTTTAACTTTTTCACACTTATTAATAAAACACACTCCATTCGTTTCATATTAAGTGTCAAAATAGAGAATTTTGTTCGGTACAAAATAAGTGTCGATTTTCATTTTCAATGGAAAATTTATTAATTTTATTTAATTTATTTTTATATTGGTTGAAATATGGTTAGGAATATAGGTAATTGTATTTTTATATAGAAAATATGTAAAATTAATTGTTTCTTTAATCTGTGTGCAGAAAATTAAAGTTACAATTATAATGGAACAAAGGGAGTATTAAAACTTAATTGTTAATGCATAAAATTTTGTGTGTTTATATTTTCTATATTTCTAAACTAATAAAATTTTAAGAAATACAATTAATGTTTTTGAAATTCACAATTATTCATTATTAATTGGCAAAACTGCATAAGAAATCTAAAAAATACATTAAAATAGAGGGAATATTTGTTTTTTCAGGCGCGCACACGATAGGGGAAACCAGTTGCATAAACGTTCGAACGAGGATCTATAACGATACAAACATTAACCCCAGTTTCGCCGCCGACTTCCGGAAAAGATGCCCGATAACCTCCATCGATTGGAGACGGGTTCCACTCGACTACCTTACACCGGATAGATTTGACACCGGATACTTCAACAACCTCATGAGTTTGACAGGTGTCCTCCATTCCGACCAAGAGCTCTTCAACAACGGCTCCACCGACTCCATTGACCGTGAGTACAGCCACGATGTAACGCTTTTTTACTCCGATTTTACTGCGGCCATGCTGAAGATGAGTCTACTGAGCCCATTGACTGGTAGTGATGGTGAGATCCGGAAGAGTTGCTGGAAGATCAACTGATTCGAATCTACTCCAAGTTGTCATTCCCTCCCCCTAATAAGATATATTTCCCTTTTAGTGTTTTCCGTTTTTCATAACCTCCTTGTGTTCCCTGTCGGAATGTGTATGTATGTTAGCTTTAATACAAAAATCTAATGAATAAAGCTATTATTTTCCTTTACCAAGTTTTAGGTTGGAACATAGTTTTTGACTTCATTGAAACGCTTCCCATCTTTCATACACCAAATTCTTACCATTCTAGTTAAGTCGGTTAAAAATAAGCAGACCTTTTGTTATTTTTGGATTAAATATTCTGATCACGATCGTGTTAAAAATGAGAGGATCATTACAAAGTTAAGGAATCAAACACTAATGACATAAAGTAAACAATATTTTTATATATAATAAAAAACAATTACAAAGTTACAAAGTTAAGGAATCAAACAATAAAGTAAACAATATTTTTATATATAATAAAAAACAATCATCATGATATAATATAAATATTTTTATTACGTAAAATCAATTTGAAAGTACTATTGCTTTCAAAATATTTAGTAATAAATTAAGTTTCGAATTTTTATATTTGAAAGTTTTATAGTATAGTAAACTATATTTCATCATATGAATTCAACTTGAAAACACTCATGTATATATAAATTATATACAAAATATATGTATATAGGGATTAAAAAAAATATTTTATGATGTAAAATATTATTTGGAACATTATAATATAAATTAATTTGTTATACTAGCTAGATAATCAAGGAAATTTATTTTGAGTTATATATTAACAAATTTAATGATTATTTGAGATTAATAAATATTTTATCATATACTATAAACTATTTTAGATAATGATAATGTGACAATCTGTCCCATAGAATTAGGTTCACAATTTTGCAGTCACTGACCCTAACCCCCATATATAAGTTCACTGAATCTCCATATGGATTATTAGTGTGTTTGACTTTTCTCGAATCTAAAACTTCATCATTTGACAACCCTTACACAAGATAAATTATCAGTAGTTTTGTAAAGAAATTGTTGAAAGGTGAGATCTTGTCGAAGAATGTTAAACGCACCAATAATTTATTCGAAAAGAACTTAGAGTTTACATGTGAGGAATTAGGGTCTTGCAAAGCTATGAACCCAGGTCAATGCGACCGATTGTCACATAACTGTGGAATACATTGAAGAAGAAGTAGCACCACAAAGTAGAAGATTTAATCTCTTTGTTGTTTGGCGATTTCTATACAATCTTTGAAAATTGATGTTTTCAGTTTTTACTTTTTATTGTTAAATTAATACATTAATTTCTATACAGAATAATATATATATATATATATATATAAGAATAATATCAATATAATACAATAAAGAAATCAATGTTTTTAGTGCGACTACCAAGATTTCAAGATCACAAAAAAATCAATAGAGTGAATACTCTATTAATAAAGACTTTTTTAAAAGAATCATCTTCTCGAAATGAGTCATGTGTTCCATTATTTTTCTTATTAGTTTATCTAAGCTATTCGTTATGTTTTCATAATTACATGTATGTATTTAGATTTGTTAACGTTCAAATAATAAAAATTTATGTTGTTGAAAAAAGTATGTGAAATGTCATAAAAATGAAACGGTTTGTCCATGTACAAAGAGGTAGATTAATCAAACCGTTTGTTGCCAAAAAAACATTAAAAACAACAAAGAGGCTTACATGTTAGGAAATAGGATCCCCAACACTCATCGACTCCGTTATGTTTCACCACTATCTTTCACTTTAGAAACACCCTACGTCTTTATATAAACATCGACTCCGTTATGCTATGCTATGTTCTTCAAACACAATAATAATCAACTAAAAGGTTTACCAAAAAAAATATAAACTAAAAGTCATCTTACTCAAGCATGCCTTCAAATCAACTTATTACCTTTTTGGTGATCGTCGTTAGTCTTTTACTGCAAGGTAATAACAATGCGGTCGTCGAAGCACAACTCAACCAAGATTTCTACTCATCGACTTGCCCTTCTCTTCTCCCCATTGTCCGAGGGGCAGTTAGAACTAACATTCTACTCGAACCTCGAATGGGTGCATCTATCCTTCGTCTCTTCTACCACGACTGCTTCGTCAACGTAAGTTTTTTTTTCACCTTTCTTCGCTGCATCCCAAGAAACGTCGTATGATTGTTTTTTTTTTTTTATCTGTCCTTCTAATCATATATAGTCATAATAACCTATACTGAATAAAAAGGGATGTGACGGTTCGATTCTACTAGATGACACATCAAGCTTCACGGGAGAGCAAAATGCGGCCTCAAACCGCAATTCTGCTCGTGGGTTTAATGTCATCGACAACATCAAATCAAGGGTTGAGAGAGAATGTCCTGGGATCGTCTCTTGTGCTGATATCTTAGCCATAGCAGCTAGAGACTCCGTTGTACAAGTAAGCTCCCTCCCTAGATCCTCTATTAGTCCGGCCGTTGTAAATATTCGCATAAATATATTTTACGTCTTAATCTTATATTATATTGAAGCTTGGAGGGCCAAGTTGGGATGTTCTTTTAGGAAGAAGAGATGCAAGAACGGCGAGTCAAGCGGCGGCGAATAGTAGCATTCCGGCCCCCACTTCGAGTCTGCGCGAGCTTATTACTAGTTTCCGCAAAGCTGGATTCACCACTAGAGAGATGGTTGCTCTCTCCGGTCCGTTTCATTACTCTCAAGAATACTTCGACACTAAATAAAAATAAAATAATTTAATTCTTTGATTTTGTCGACACTTTTTAATTATACTTCAGTACAAATAATTAAGTCAAACTATTAAACAATTTACTTTCTTTTTTTTTGTTCAGGCGCACACACGATAGGGCAAGCCCAATGCAGAAACTTTCAAACGAGGATCTACAACGAGACAAATATTTCCCCCTTTTTCGCTGCCAGGCTCCGGCTAAAATGTCCACCAACCTCCGGCGACAGAAATCTAGCTTCACTCGACTACCTTACACCATTTGTTTTCGATAACAATTACTTCAGGAACCTCATGAGTCAGAAAGGTCTCCTCCATTCCGACCAAGAGCTCTTCAACGGTGGCTCCACCGACTCCATTGTCCGTGAGTACAGTCAAAATCCTACGCTTTTTCGCTCTGATTTCTCGGCAGCTATGTTCAAGATGAGTTTATTGAACCCTTTGACTGGTAGTGATGGTGATGTCCGGCAGATATGTGGGAGGAGGAGGAGGACCATGTGGTTGGAAAATATTCCAAATGTCACTCCCTCCCTAAATAAGATCCTTTGAAGATCCTTTTAGACGTTTTTGCTCCTTTCCTTGTGTTCTTGTGGGACTTTGTATGTTTGCTTTAATAAAATAAAATCTAATGAAACCAGCTATGGTTGTTCTTTATAAAGTTTTTTTTTATTTAAGTCTTAACGTTTATGATCCTCTTAGACTAAGTATTTTAATGTTTTGTATTAAGTTTTACATATACTTTTATTTAAAATGATTAAATTTAACTATCAGTTGCCCATTAAAAATAGCTGAGTGAAGAGGCTATCTTTCAAATATTTATGTATCTTTATGAAAAAATGATTTTGACTTTTCTGACGCTCTCTTTCATATCTTTTTTTTTTTCTTGATAAATTTTCTTAGGAGTGAGATTTTGAAAGACTAATATAACATGTGTCAACATTTTAAAATGTTTATTACTTTTACTGAAAACCTCAAAAAATATCTCAACACTGCTGATACTTTAATATTATCAAAAGCATTTACGAAACTTTGTTAAATTCAAATGTCGGGAAAAATATCAGTAACAATAAGGACTTATTCTTATATTAAAATTTTTGGAGACTAAGAGAATCTTCAACCTCATTCCATAATTTACTGTAAAATAGAATGAAAAATAGAGTAATGAACAAATAAAAAAATAAACTGGAGTAATTATTTTTATTTTTTTTTGTTCACTACTCTATTTTTCATTCCAGGTTGGAAATGTTCTAAGGCAAACTTTTTGCAAATTTTTCATTCGATTGTGTCCAAATCCGGCCTTGCATACAGTTATAGCATAGTTATTACTAAGTTGATTTTTGGTTTAATTTCTTACTAGTCTTGGACCCGCGTGCCCGCGCGGGATCATCTTCGATAACGAAATATTTTTCACTTTTGACAATGTCATAAATATAATTATTTATGTTCTTTTAATAGATTCATAAGTTATTAACTTTTGAAATTGATGTATTTTGTTAATGTGTTTAGTTTTCATTTATAAATTATGATATTGTGTTCTTGTATTGTATTTTTATTCATTTTATTTGGTAAAGTAAACATTAAAGTATAAATTATTAGAGTTTTAAGTATACTTGTGGATTTTATGAAACACACAAATTTAATGAGATTTAAAATTAAATATAAAATTCAAATTTTATTGATATTAGTTTTTTTTAAAAATACGTTATTTAGACATAAACATTAAAATGTTTGATATACAATCAAAATACTGCAAAAGAGCTGTTTTTACCAGGTTAATAATGTTTGATATACGATTAGTAATTTGGTTTTAGTGTATATTATTAAGATACAAAATCATATTATATAGAAGAAGTAAATGAAACTTTTATAAAAATTACATAATTTATCTGTTTATTTATTTGAAATTTAGTATGTTAACTTTTATGTTACAATGTGAAAATTATATTTTGTTTTGCATTTTGCAAGGCTTGCAATTGTAAAGTTAGTGATGAGAAAGATTATTAAAAATTTTATTAGAGTTTTTTAAAAAAAAATTTAAAATGGTGAAATGTTATATTTCACTATACTAAAATTGTTATGAATACATTTTGAACAAAAAAATTAAGAAATTCCTATACAAAAAATAACGTTATGCATATGTTTGTTTTATATTTTATAGATACATTTAAAAAAAAAACAATTTAGTGGTTCCTTTTATACCATTTTAGCTTATTGTTCGGACCATATATTTCGTTTGTGTTATATATTGTTGTTAGATGTGTGTTGGATAGTAGCTATATTAAAATATTGGTTATGTGTATTAATACGCTCGACATAAATTTATATTAACCTTGCTTTGATATTTATTATATGATTTAAATTTATTTAATAATATATTATGTCAGTATGGGTCAAATTAACAATAATTTACAAATACTTTACAAAAAATGTATACGTGGAAGCTAGAGGCAAACCAGTATATTATTATTTTCAATATTTTCATATCCAACTCGGACCAGCATCAAACCGTCAAACCTGGTTACCAAGTAAGTAATCTAGTTTAGATTTGAAGAAATAACCATTAATTAAAAATTTGATAAAATCTGTTAAATATTTTTAAATCTGGTGATCCAGTTATCGGTTAGACCATTGGATGAACCAATCATTTTTTTTACAAAAGGTTTTCAAATAATTTAAATTATTTTACATAGTAAAAATAAAATAAAAAGTAGAAAAATAAAAGGTAAATATTTTCTATATTTTTTTAGAAAGTATGAAGTTTATCTTATACTTTTATTAGCTAATATATACTTATATATTAAAATTGATCAATGTATTATCTGGGGTTGATCTAATAATCTAGTGATCCAACCGTTTTTCGTTCAGTGTGCGGATTGGGTTTAAAAATATTGGTTAAAAAGTAAAGAAATAAGTGTCGTAACAATCTTATATATTAAAACAG